CCCCAAAACCCCAAAACCCCAAAACCCCAAAACCCCAATAAGAAATAAATTTTTGAAATAAGAAATGTCTCAAGAAAATCTCAAAATTTTGGTAGAAGATAACAAGCAGCCTTGGGAAAGAGAGATCCAGTGGGACTCTCCTAGTCACAAGACTTCTAAGTTTCTGAGATTATGCAAGGAGCATGGTGCTCCTTTGATATTCTTAGCTAATAATAAAGTTGTTTGTGAGCACTGTTCTGAAAGCCCTAAAATCGATCTGAAATAAACAAGTCTTTCAGCTGTTAAAGGATCTTGAGCATAATGTTTACCAGTACAATATTGCCATTTCAAACGCTAGTAAACTTAGAACTGTAGATCTCAGGGAGAACATCCTAGAAGACATCCATCAATACTTCATTGAAGTTAGGTCTGTAACAGATAAAATTGAGCAAGAGAAAATAAACGAGGTGGAGCATATCTTCAAAACTTTGGAGTTCTCAAAACTTGATGATCTCCAGGAGTTCTATGAGCTCCAGAATACTGGTGAGAAAGCTCTCGAGACCGTGAAGGAGATGTTCAGAAATCTTGCTCTGGCTAATGTATACAACTATAGGATCTCTTACAACGGCATTATAGATCATATTTCAGAAATGACTGAGTTTTTGAAGAACACTACGAAGGTTTATCATGAAAAGTGAAATACACTATTTCGTATCCAGAAAGATCAGAGTAGGGTTTTGATGTAATTTTTAGATTGCATTAATAATGGAATCAAGAAAGCAATTGATGCAATGTGTCAAAGCTTTGGCTCACTTGCTAAGCCAAAGGAAGAAATAGATTCCCAAATGAGAGACTTATGCAAAGCCGCTAATATGGATTACTTGGTTATTGAGAAGATCAATAAAAATACAGATATGATGTCTCCTGCTGAACAGGAGACTGTATTTAATAGTCTGAATGCAATTAAGGTGCAGACTAAAGATCTTATTTTGAATCACTCAGGGCTGAGCAATTATGGAATTGAGGTTATTTGTGAGTCACTGAAGAACTCAGATCATGTCCATAGGCTAGACCTCAGTTATATTTCCAACCCAATCGGTATTTTTCAGGACTAAAACTATAGATTCTTCAGGAAGTAAAGCGATTTCAGAAATGCTTAAGGCAAATTTATATTTGAAATCCCTCAACCTTGCTGGGTGTGGAATTAAAGATAAAACATTAATGACCTTGTGAGAAGGGATAAACTATAACAGAACACTTGAGATATTGATACTTGATAAGAATGAGATCACTACAATAGGTTTAAAATCCCTCTTGTCGATCTTATCGAATGAGAAAAGAGATCAGAATTTAGTTTTACTAGACATAGGCAACAATTACATAGATGATATTGGAGCAAAGGCAATTGCTGAGATGCTCAAAGTGAATCACAAATTATCAAAACTTTACCTCCATTTCAACGAGCTTTCTAATAAAGGTATGACTCTCTAATAACTCTAGGACTGATTGCAATCAGTCATGCGCTTGAAGAGAACCTTGCTCTGGAGCAATGCTATGTTTACGGGAACTCTATTACTGAAGAGATACAAATATTGGCTAAAATTAAGCACAAGAATAGGATTCTGATGAAAGATACTTTGCTATAATTTCAATTTGGCTATGAGACTCCGGGGTTTTGGGGTTTTGGGGTTTTGGGGTTTTGGGG